TTCTTGGTCTGGGGCCCCTGGCTCCCTGATCTCCCCACGTCCCCCTGGGTCCCTGCCTCACCCTTTCCTCCATCCCTTCCTCACGGGGTCATCCTCTCAGCCTGTCTGTATCTGCTCGTTCTCGCCCAGGGAATCTTCCATCTCCCTCTCCCTCCCTTTCTGATCCTGTTTTCACATCTCTGACTCCGTGTAGGTTTTCTGTCACCTGCCCTCCTTCTGCGTCTCTGACTCTTCCTGCCCCCATGGTTCTCCCGTTTACCTGGTTTGCTGTGTCTGCTCCCCTAGGCTTCAGTCCTCCGGAGCCTGGCAGGGGGCAGTCACCTGCTGGCCAGCACTCCCTGCGGGGTTCAGGGCGTCCCTACTGCCAGGTGGCAGAGGAAGCCCAACGTAGACCTCACCGTGGCCAGGCCGAGCGATCACCAAGCGCTGGGCCCGCTACCCTCTGCCTCATTCGCTACTTTAGGCACAGCATAACCCTGAGAGGTAGTCCAGCAGCCCGCCATTAACTCTGCCGGGAGGAGGAGGGGCTGGGATTTGAACCCAGGCCGTCTGGCCCCCAGAGGTGTGCTCTTCACACCCAGCCTCTGCCAGCAGCAAGAGTGGTTCAGGATGCACGCCTGGGAGGCAGAGAGGCCCAGATTCTGCTCCTCACACATTTTGTGACCAGGGATCAGTGACTTACCCCCTTAGCCTCCGTGGACTCCTCTGTACATGGAGTGGCGAGTGACCGCCAGCATCGTGGGGTTGTGCCGACCCGAAGAGATCCCACAGGGCCTGGGCGTCTGACCTCTATCCCCTGGGAACTGTTGAGCAAGGAGCCAGCATGGGAGACCTCAGGGCAGGCCCTGCACCCTCCAGCAGGAGTGAACCTGGAAGGCTGCTTGGAGCGGGAGTCTGGCCTGGCACCTTGGCCACCCAGCCGAGGTGACCGCCCCCCCATCTCACCCGCAGGCATCCTCGTGGCCCACTACCTGCAGAGCATCACCCCGTGTCTGGCCCTGGGCGGAGAGCTGGTCTACCACCGGCGGCCCGGGGAGGAAGGCACCGTCATGTCCCTAGCGGGGAAATACACACGTGAGCCTGGGGCCTGAGGGCAGGGCTCAGGGCTGGGGGCATGGCTCCTGGGTCTGAGGGAGGAGAGGGACCTCCCTCCCAGGCGCCCGGAGCCCCCTCGGCGACCCGCCCTGCTGTCTTACAGTGAACAACTGGTTGGCAACGGTGACACTGGGCCAGGCGGGCATGCATGCGACATACTACCACAAGGCCAGCGACCAGGTGAGCCGGGCCGGGGCCGGAGGCGAGGGCGTGCTCTGCAGGCAGGGGGGCCCATGTGCCGGAGGGAGGGGGGGGCTGACTCTGCGCGTGGCCCCGGCCTCTCCAGCTGCAGGTGGGCGTGGAGTTCGAGGCCAGCACGAGAATGCAGGACACCAGTGTCTCCTTCGGGTACCAGCTGGACCTGCCCAAGGCCAACCTCCTCTTCAAAGGTACAGGCCTCGGTTTCCGTACTTGGAAAACAGGCCACAGGGGACTTGGCCCCGAGTGGGCGTGTAGACTAAAAGAGTTGATGGAGGGCAGCTTGCTGGCACTTGGGGGGGCGGGGGGGGGGGCGGCGAGGGGAGGCGCCAGATTCCCTGGAAGCTCCTGTTAAGGTGGTGGCAGCGGCCCCCTTCCGCTTCGCACCTGCTCCTCCTTTTTTTTCTCTCACTAGCGGGAGGCAACTAACCATGCATCCGGGCCGCCCTGCTCCTCTGACGAGAGTGGGGACTGGCTCCCTCAGGGGCACAGTCACAGCCCAATGCAGAGCCTCCTCCCAGGCTGACTCTAGTCCCGATGTTAAGGCTTTATTAAGTCTTTCCCCCCTAGACCTCTGTGGTTCTCAGGACGACGGTGTGTGCAGACCACCCCGGAGAACCACTTCCTTCAGCCTCGGGCAGCGCTTCTCGGGCCCGTGACGAGGCCCAGGGCATGATTTGCCTGAGGCCCCTCTCTCTGTGGTCAGCCTGGTGTCCAAGGCTGGGCTTGGGCTCCCACTGTGCTGCCCCTCGGCTCCTGTGCAATGAGCAATCGGGCCGATCGGTGTGGGAATGGCCCTGTGCGCTTGCACGCCCGTAGGCCTCAGGCTTTTGCTGGGCAGATACTGAGCACCTGCTCTGTGTGTGGCCAGCCTTCGTGCCAGGGTGCTGGGGACGGAGCGGTGGCCGGACAGGGCTCACACTTGGGGGTGTGACAGATCCACCCCCAGAGAGTGAAGACCCAGTGTGGACAGGATCAGGATCGGGGAGCCCATGGTGTGGCAGAGGGGTATGGGGGGGATAGGGGTAGCGGGAGAGGACCACTAAGCCAGTTGCTCCCAGAGCTTGGAGAACTTGGGGTTCGGGAAGAGGTCTCTGGGTGGTGGGAACAGTGCGGTCAGAGATCTAGAAGCCGTCAGTGTGGCTGCTGGTGGCTGAGGTGGCCGGGAGCGCGACTCTGGGGACAGGTTGGGAAGTCGGCTCTCAACCCGGCCATCCACCCGCAGGCTCCGTGGACAGCAACTGGATTGTGGGGGCCACACTGGAGAAGAAGCTGCCGCCCCTGCCCCTGACGTTGGCCCTCGGGGCCTTCCTGAATCACCGGAAGAACAAGTTCCAGTGTGGCTTTGGCCTCACCATCGGCTGAGCCCCTGCTGGCCCCCCGCCTTCCGCCCTTCCTCCTTCAGATCCCACCTCCCTCTCCCCCTGCCACGGAGGGGAGACCTGAGCCCTCCTCCCCCTCCCTTCCCTCCCTCCTCGGGGGTCAGGGGGGGCAGCGGAAAGGAGGGAACCCATCACCCCAGCAGCTGAGGGGGGGTCTGGAATCACAGGCGCCTCAGGATTCAGAGTGCTACGGGCAGGGTGTCCGTGGGCCTGGGGTCCCGGAGGGGAGTCCAGAATCGAGGGGCACGCCAGGTTCTGAGCACCAGGGACAGAGGTGGCCAGACAACCTCAGGGAGGTGTTGGGGCATCCCAGTCCCCAGAGGGCCCTGGGCCCGGCCCTGAGGGGACAGCAGGAAGAGGAGCTTCCCCATCCCCGGTCAGCCTGTCCCTGCCCTCTCCCCCACCCATCCCTCAGTATAAATCATGTTTATAAGTTATGGAAGAACCGGGACATTTTACAGAAAAAAAAAAAACAACAAAAAATATACATGAAAAAAAGTGAAACAGGAGGGCTTTGCTTTCCTTCACGTCACCCCTCTTGCCTGGGGCCACCCTGACAGATATGACAGTGGCCAGCAGGGGGCGCTGCAGGGCGGAGGCCTGGAGCCGGCCGATGGCGAGGGACCCGGCCTGGCCTGAGATCACACATCCTCCCCGTGACTTGGGTGGCTTCTGCTGCCACTTCACAGTCCTGCCCTCACCAGGAGGGCTCGCTCTTGCGGTCATTCACCCCGGCTTGGCCTGGCCGGGAGTGGCCATGGGAGACTATCCCCGCCGGCTGACGCCACAGGGACAGAGCTTTGGTGCAGGGATTGGGGAACGAGCTGGGACGCCATCAGCCCTTCAGCTTCCAGAAGGGGCAGAGGACACTCGCAAGGTCAAACCTCTCAGAAGCTACGCCAGGATTCCAGCATCTTCAGAGACTTGAGAAGCAATGGACCGTGCCTGAGGGGGCGAAGGGCTTCTGGGCCTCGGGAGAGAGGCTGGAGTCCGACCCCAGCCTGGTTAGAGACGCCTCTTCGTCTCCAGGGGAGGCAGGGAGGTGTCTGTTTTGATCGCCCAGGTCTTCAGTGAGTTCCCACCCCTGACCCCTCTCCAGATGGGAACTGAAACCCGACACGTGACTGGAGTTCAGCGGGGGGGGGGGGGACTGTTAGGCAGAGATGCCCCCTCATTGCCCAGAGAAGCCACCTGCTCATCCTCTGCTGGCGCCTTCCAAGGCCAAAGCAAACAGGCCTGGGCCCGGCTGGCACTGGGGTCGCCTTCCTGGGACCAGAGTTTGGCCTCCCCGGACCCCTCAGAACCCGATGTTCCTGCACCCTCTGGGGACCGGGAATGAAGCCCAGCCCCCTCACAGTGCACCTTCATCTGCCTCAACTCCACCCGGAGCTCTCCGAGAAAGGGCCGGGATCCACAAGCAGGCCTCTGGGAAGGTGGCTGTGCCAGCTGTGGGTCACCGTGGTGTGCCAGGAACTCCGCGTTTCATATGTGCCCTAGCTCGTTGCATCGCCAAAGGATGCTGTAGGTGCAACTGTTTGCCTGGTTCTGTGGACCCAGAAGAGTGTTCAGACAGGTTAAGTTATGGGGCCAAGGTCAGGGGTCTGGCAGCTGGCAGAGCGCTGACTTAGGCCCAGACCTCCTAGTTCCAGAGTCCGCGGTCCTGGCCGGCAGCACGAATGCCCCCCGGACCGCGAAGAGAAGGTGCAAGCGCTCCTGACAGCTACAGTGTTCGTGCCAGGCAGAAGAGCTGGATTTTCATTCTGCAAATGGGGAAAGGGGCCAGAGAGGTGCTCACCCTGTGTCCAAGGTCACAAAGCGGGAGCTAGGATCAAACCCTAGATTTCCTTCTAAGAGCTTAGGCTTTTAGCAGGGGCATTACCCTGCCCCCACCCTTCCCATCTCATCTCTGTCCCGCTGTCCAGCCCCCCCCCCAACGTCCCCTTCTAAGTCCCAGGAGTCTGGGCCCCCAGCCCCCTCCCCCTCAACCCAGACATCCAAAAGCCCCCCCGCATCTTTTCCCTGACTCAGGATTCCCGCCCCCAGCCCCCTCCCCAAATGTGAATCGTCTGTCCACAGGAAGAGAGAAGGGCAAGGGGGGGTGCTCCCGCAGCTGCTGCCCCTTCCCCTTTCACACCTAGCCCCCCCCCGAATGGAGGAAGGGGCCTGAGTTGCTGGGTAAGATGTCACCCTCCTTCGTGGGGGCTTGGGGGCTGGGTATCCAGAGCCTCCAACCCCCACCTCCTTCCCGGTGCCTGCTGTGTGAAGCGGGGAGCAGACCACCTCGTGACTGGGGGCTGGCCCAGCCGCCCTGGCCCCGGAGGAGTGGGCGGGGCAGGGGGAGCCTTATAATTGGACGAGTCTGGCATCCCTGAGTCCTACTCAGCCCCAGCGGAGGCGAAGGAGGAGGTTCCCCAGGAGCCGGTGAGAAACGGTTGAGGCCACAGAGACCAGCTCAAGGCTTCTGTGAGGGATGGGCGGGGGCTAGGGGACTGTCCTACGCCAGGGTCTGGGCAGAAGCAGGGGACGGGCCGACGGGAGGGGTGGGGAGGAGTGGGCCCCAAGGGCGTCCAGTCTAGGCTGGAAGGTGGGATGGGGGGGGAGGACCCGCGCCTGTAGGAAGAGCCCACGAATTGTCACTGTCATCTGTTGAGCACCCACTCGGTGCCCCCTCAGATCTCCATTAGTTGGGGGCGCAGGAGTGGGAGCCGGGCGGGAGGCAGGGGTGGCGGCCAGGTAGCTAGAGCGCTCATTCCTCATTGAAAGAGGACTTTCAAATGAGCATTAAATTAGCTAATAGGTGAGAAATGGTGTCTAGATGTGAAGTGGGGGCTTAGAATGTGAAGGCAGGAGAGGAATGCCAAGTTGGAACTTGCAAACCGGAGTTGGGGCTCACATGGAACTCGGGGCAGGGTGATTGGAATTTGAACCCCGGGAGAGAGGGATGGAATTTGGGCGGCAGAGGCCGATCTGGGGACGGGGAGATAGGAGGAGACAATGAGGGAGCTAAATAGACAATGGAGGGGCCGCTTGGTAAATATTTGCGGTCGGATTAGGCTGATGCAGATACGGGGCGAGGGCGAGACTTGGAAGGCCCGGAACGGGTGGGGCGGGGCTCCGAGTGGGAGGGGTCCCCACCGGCTGCTGATTGACATTTCTCACCCACACTGACCAATCGCAGGCTGGAAGATGAAGGTTCTGTGGGCGGCGCTCCTGGTCGCGTTCCTGGCAGGTATGGGGGCGGGGCTTGCTCAGGGTTCCCCGCCCCTTCCCCTCCCATCCTGACATGTACTCCACCCTTACCCTCCTTCCATCCCTGGGTCCCCTTCCTTCTGCTGGTCTGTCTTCCCCTTGAGGGGAGAACTCTCACATCCCACCGGCTCTGAGCAGCTGTTTTACTCTCTCTGGGCCTCGGTTTCCCCGTCCTTAAAATGGGAGTTATAACAGTTCCTAACACGTTGCTGTCAGGCAGGTAGCAAGCACCAGATTAGTGTCAGCCGTGACTAGTTTTACTCTCCATCACCACCACACGGCCCTGCGCGGAGCATCGACACATATATGCTTGCCAAGCTGCTTACACACGCCGGGCAACCTTCCACGGGCCCCCAGCGCTCCATAAAGCAGCACAGCATTCGTGAAGCACCTACTGGGTACCAGGTACCGCGTCCCTGGAGAGGGGCCGAGCACCCTGGCTGCCCGTCACTTGCTTTGCGCAGGATGCTGGGCCGATGTGGAGCCGGAGCCGCAGCTGGAGCGGGGGCTGGAGCCGGAGGCCCCGTGGCAGGCTAGCCAGCCCTGGGAGCAGGCGCTGGGCCGCTTCCGGGATTACCTGCGCTGGGTGCAGACGATGTCTGACCAGGTGCAGGAGGAGGTGCTCAACACCCAGGTCACCCAGGAACTGACGTGAGTGCCCCCGACACAACCGGGGGGCAGTTCCCTCTGGACCCCCAAGCCTCCACCGGTCCAGGTTTCCTTGGGTCCCTGTCACCAACTCTTCCGCGTCTCCGTTCACGTCGTGCTCCCTCTTTCCGCTCGGCGCTCCTGGGGTTCCCTACCTCTCGGTCTATCTCAGCGCTCCCCGCCCCTGGCCGCCCGTCCATCCCGCCAGCTCAGTCCCGCGCACCGCTTCCCTCTCCATCTCTGCTTCTGCCTGTCCCTGTCCCCATCGTGCCCTCCCCGACCTCGGTCTCCCCCCACGCACACGCTCCCGCCCTCCCTCTCGGTCCCCAGCGTGCTGATGGAGGAGACCATGAAGGAGGTGAAGGCCTACAGGGAGGAGCTGGAGGAGCAGCTGGGCCCCATGGCCTCGGAGACGCAGGCCCGCGTGGCCAAGGAGCTGCAGGCGGCGCAGGCCCGGCTGGGCTCGGACATGGAGGACGTGCGCAACCGCCTGGCGCAGTACCGCGGCGAGCTGCAGGCCATGCTGGGCCAGAGCACCGAGGAGCTGCGGGGCCGCCTCGCCTCCCACCTGCGCAAGCTGCGCAAGCGGCTGCTCCGCGACGCCGACGACCTGCAGAAGCGCCTGGCCGTGTACCGCGCAGGGGTGCGCGAGGGCGCGGAGCGCAGCGTCTCCACCTTGCGTGAGCGCCTCTGGCCGCTGGTGGAGCAGGCGCGTGTGCGCAACGCCAACGTCGCCGCCCTGGCCACGCAGCCGCTGCGGGAGCGCGCCGAGGCCCTGGGCCAGCAGCTGCGCGAGCGGCTGGACGAGGTGCGCGAGCAGGTGGAGGAGATGCGGGTCAAGATGGAGGAGCAGGCCAACCAGATGCGCCAGCAGGCCGAGGCCTTCCAGGCGCGCCTCAAGAGCTGGTTCGAGCCCTTGGTGCAAGACATGCAGCGCCAGTGGGCGGGGCTGGTGGAGAAGGTGCAGGCGGCCGTGGGCACCGCCCCCACCACGGCGCCAGTGCCAGTGGAGAACCAGTGAGGGCCCCACCCCCCTCGCGCGCCCTTGCCTCCTCCCTCCTCCCCCCCCAGACTACAGGAGGCCCTGTCCCTGCTGTCCTTCTGGAAGGTCCCGTAGCTTAATAAAGATTCACCGAGCGCCACAGCAGCCGCTGGACCTCCGTGTGTGATTTCTCCCGGCCCCTGCCTCCGCGCCCCCCTCTGCTTGGGTGTCCGCGTCTTTGTCTCTTCTGATCTCAGCGTTTGCTTCCTTCTGTCCCTTGCAGAGCCTCCCCTTTGGCTCTGCCTCTGCTCAGCGGCGCTCGCCGTCTCTTCTGTGCCTCTCTTTCCCTTCTGTCTCTGAGACACGGTTCTGGAACAGATCCACCCCTGGGTTAAATCCTGGAGTCCCCTCTGACAAAGGGGGGGGGGGCACGAAGTAGGGCAAGGAAGGGGGAAGAAAGAAAAGCAGCCTCTCTGAGGTTTGCCTTGCTCGGCTTCATAGTACCTGCCTCCTGGAGTTGTGACCTCAAGGACCCGAGACCACGGCCATTCTGAATGAGCCTTTATTATTGTCAGTCTCCTGTCTCTTTCTTTTTGCACTGTTTATTTATTTATTTAGTTTTGAGAAAGAGAGAGAGAGCACACAAGCAGGGGAGGGGCAGAGAGGGAGAGACAGAACTGCAAGCCAATTCCACACCATGGGTGCAGAGCCCGGCGTGGGGCTGGAACTCACAAACCGTGAAATCATGACCTGAGCCGAGATCAAGAGTCAGACTCAACCAACTGTGCCACCCAGGCACCCCTTAACTTTATCTTTTTAAGTTTATCTATTTTGAGAGGGAGGGAGAGAGAGAACAGACGGGAGAGGGGCAGAGAGAGAGGGAAAGAGAGAATCCTAAGCGGGCTCCATGCTGACAGTGCAGACCCCAATGAGGGGGCTCGATCTCACGAAGGTGAGACCATGACCTAGCTGAAATCAAGAGTCTGACGCTCAACTGATGGAGCCCCCCCCTCCCCTGGCACCCCTGTGGCTCCCCTCTTTTACCGAATTCTGCCTCCCGGCCTGTCCTGGCTGAGAGGCCTCATTCTTCTGGCATCCGGTTTACTCCACCTCTTTTATCTTTTCCTCCTCCAGCTTCTCCCCCCCCCCCAGCCCTGCCTGTTTCTTGTTTCCCTCCTCCCGCCATCTGGGGTGCGTCATCTCCGCCGTTCTGTCTCCCAGTGGGGCTGCTGACTTGTCTATCTCAACAAGCCTACTGGGTGCCGGGTCCTGTCCGGAGAGCAGGAAGCTGCCCCGTCCTGCCCACCCCCTCCGGGCTCCGCACCGCCCTGTGAAGTCCTGGAGTCCCAGAGCAGTGAGGACCTGAGCCGGGAGCCCCTCCGCTGGCACCCTCTACCCACCCCCTCAATTCTCAGACGAGGGGAGCGGGGTTCCCGGCCCAGGGGAGAGGCCAGGACTTGAGCGTGGTAATTCCCAGGCCCAGCCTGCCTCCTCCGTGTGGCTGGTGCACACTCCACTCTGCCTGTGCCAGGTGCGCCCAGCGCCCTTGTGGAGGCAGCCCCTCCTCCCCACCCCCACCCCCAGATGACTCACCCCAGGAATGGTGAGGAGGAGACGGGTCAGGGGGCTCAGAGGCAGGTGGCCTACTCCCAGCCAAGCCTGCTGATGATTCACTGTGTGCCTGGGAGCTGGGGCCGAGCCCTCAGAGCCGCAGAGGTCAATGCGGGGGCCTGGCATCAGCCATGTGCTTCCCCTTGAAGGGCTGAATCTTGAATTCTCATGGGTGAAGGGAGCAGGCAGGTCTAGAAGTGGCACAAAGGCTAAGAAAGAGTTTGGGGGAGCAGAGGCTGATCCCCCAGAGAGATCCAGAGAGACAGCCTGGAGTCCCAGAAAGGGGAGGGACAAGGAACCCCCCTCCCCCCTGGCCACCGCCCCTTAGCCCCTTGCCGAGCCATTGAATGTGCTTGGCCATTGAATGTGCTTGGCCGTGCCTCAGTTTCCCCATCTGTAGAGGGAAGCCCCTGTAGCCGGGATGAGGATGAGACGCGGAGAAGCAAAGTTGTCGTTCTATTGCGGTGGGGCGGGGAAGGAAGGGAAGCAGACGGTTGGGTGGATGTGGGGAGAACGCTGGGCTCACAGGGGCAGCCGGTGTCTGGGAAGACAGCTGGGGGCTGACAAGGACGGGAGGCACTGAGCCGGCCAGGCGGGTTGTCGCAATCCTGCCAGGGTCATGTCTGTGCATCCCTTTCACAACCGTCCCCCCACCACCCCCAGGCTGACACGTGGTTGTGGGGGCGCAAGGCCAGCCAACCTCGAGTCTGAGGCCAGGGCCGCCCTCCCCACAGCTGCCAGGGATCACTGGCGGTCAAAGGCAGCCAGGGGAAGGGGAGGAGGGAAACCTTGGACTCCAGCCCTGAGGGACGGATGTGGTGGGAGGGGGGCCGGAAGGGGGGGTGCTTGGTGCCAGGAGGGGCCCGAGGGGCTGAGTCGGAGTTTACCAGGGGGCCTGGAGGCCCGGGGAGCAGGAGGGCAGAGGGGGGGGGGGGGTGCTTGGTGCCAGGAGGGGCCCGAGGGGCTGAGTCGGAGTTTACCAGGGGGCCTGGAGGCCCGGGGAGCAGGAGGGCAGAGGGAAAGGAGGGGTCTGGGGGGAATGGATGGAAGCGCACACGCTGGGATCCTCGAAGCTGAGGTTTTGCAGTCTAGACTGGCTGGAAAGACCCCCTCCCAAAAGTGATTGGATGGTGTGGAACCAAGACCTCAGGGCGCAGCTATGGAAGTCCAGATGCAGGCAGATGGGGGGAAGGGTGGGGTTGAGGGCTCGGCTGGAAAAAAGACTGCAGGTGGCCTGGGGGTAGGAATGTGGGGGCCAGACTGGATGACCCTAAAGTAAGAATAAGAGCGGCGGGCGGTGAAGAGGCTTGCTGAGAAAGGAGAGGGTGTGGAAGAGGAGGCCTGGGGAGCTACAGCAAAGTGAGTTACAGTTACTGAGTGACAGAGACACCCCCTGAAGCCTATAGAAAGGTGGTTAGCAGGGGCGCCTGGGTGGCTCAGTCGGTTAAGCGTCCAACTTCAGCTCAGGGCATGATCTCAGGGTTCGTGGGTGGGTTCGAGCCCCACGTCGGGCTCTGTGCTGACAGCTCAGAGCCTGGAGCCTGTTTCAGATTCTGTGTCTCCCTCTCTCTCTGACCCTCCCCCACTCACGCTGTCTCTCTCTCTCTCTCTCTCTCTCTCAGAAAAAATAAAAGGTGGTTGGCAGGAGAAACCCCTGAGGGAAGATGGCTGGGGGAGGGGGCGACAGAATATAGGCAGTCCCCGGATGTGGGGAAGGGACTACGACGGGCTGAGATCCACCAACGGTGAGGGAGATCTGGGGGTGCAGGTGCTGAACAGCAAGAGGCTTTAGGCCTAAGGGGTGTGCCAGGCCCCACCTGAACCTCCCGCCCCCACCAGCCAGGGGCAGAAGAGGAAAAGGTAGGTGGGCACAGGACTGGATAGGAGGCTGAGGGGGAGGGACTAACCTTCCCCGCCCCCTCCTCCTCCCCAGCGCGATAAAGGCCTGGGCCGGGCCAGGACCTCCCGCCCCACGTTGCTGTGGCTGGACAGATCCAGGTTGGTGCTCCTTTCGGGAGGGACGCCCTTCCAAGAGCAAAGGGGGTGGAAGGGACTTCGGGGAGCGAGGGGTGTCACCGATCGCTCCCACCCCTGCTTCTGCTTGCAGAGTGCCCCTTCGGCCCAGCCATGAGGCTCATCCTGTGGCTCCCCGTTTTGGTGGTGGTTCTGTTGATGCTCTTGGAAGGTAAACGTGGGAGAGGAGAATATGGGAATTTGAGATTTGGAAGCTTGAAGTTGGACACGGGCCTGGGGCCCAAACTTAGAGGCCCCTTGAGAGCTCAGCGGCCCCTTCGGCGCCCTGGTTTTCCTATGTCTCACCGACACCCCATCCCCGACCCCGGCAAAGTTGGGTGAGGGCTCTCGGAGGGGCGGTCCAGCGAGTGGCAAATCTGTCCGGGAGGCCCTAGCAACCGATGATGTACAAGCGACTCGCGCCGCTCTACCATTGGTTGTCCTGCTTTTACAGTCTGGAAAGGGGCGGGGGAGGAGGCCGAGCTGAGAGTAAGTTAATACCCAGCTGCTGGAGCTGCATCTGGTCGCTTGAGTACCCGCTCCCTGCACCCCTGCACCCCGATCTGTCCGTCCGATTCTAACACCATGACCTCCAAGAATCACTTTCAAGTACAGTATCTCCTCTGCCGTCCCCGGAATCTCATCCTAAGGGCTCCCAATACTGAAAGTTTTGTACCCCTGCCTATCTCTGGACAGGCCCAGCCCCGGCCCAAGGGGCCCCAGATATTGCCAGCACCTTCAAGAACATCCCGAATTCGCTGAAGGAGTTTGGTAACACCCTGAGGGACGCCTTCAAGAGCATTCCTGAGAAGACCGGGTTAGCAATCTTCCCAGGGCTGTCTTGGGAGGTCGGGGTCGGTCGATTAACAGAGCGGGGAAACTGAGGCTCAGAGCAGCTGACAACTTCCCCGCGGTCACAGCTGGCTCACAGGGTGCACAGATATGGGGGACAGGTTCCCGATTCCCGTCTAGACCACACTGTAGAGATGGTCCTGCGTGGTGGTGACAGATCAAGCTTGGGAATCAGTCAGACCTGGGTCCACGAGCCAGCAAAGATTCACGACTCTCTGTGATCTCGGGAGTAGATCTCAATGGCCTTTTTCCGGGACTGTGAAATAGATGGTTCTGAGAAGTAAACGAGGGATTTGTATAGTGCCTGGTGCATTGTGAATGCTCAATGAGCGGTTTAACCAACACTGACTCCATCTGGTGTGTTAGAGAATCATTCATTCATGAACATATATTTACGGGGCCAGGTGTCTGGGACTCTTCCAATGTGGAGAATAGTAGTGGTGAGTAAGATAAAGTCTCAGCCCACAGGGAGCAGACTGTGAAACCTGTGAACTTTTTTTTTTTTTTTTTTCTGAGAGAGAGACAGCATGAGCAGGGGAGGGTCAGAGGGAGGGAGACACAGAATCAGAAGCAGGCTCCAGGCTCTGAGCTGTCAGTACAGAGCCCGATGCGGGGCTTGAACCCACGAACTGTGAGATCATGACCTGAGCTGAAGTCGGACGCTTAACCAACTGAGCCACCCAGGCGCCCCGAACTTTTTTTTTTTAAGGTTTATTTTTGAGAGAGACAGACAGACAGACAGACAGCGTGAACAGGGGAGGGACAGAGAGAGAAGGAGACACAGAATCCAAAGCAGGTTCCAGGCTCCAAGCTGTCAGCACACAGCCTGACATGGGGTTCGAACTCACAAACTGAGATCATGACCTGAGCCAAAGTCGGCTGCTTAACTGACTGAGCCACCCAGGCGCCCCTGAAACCTGTGAACTTCCAGAAGATTAGCCCAAACAGAGCGAAGCACCGAGATGACATTAAGCAGGGTAGCCTTACAGACATCCAAGGACTGGGGACGGGCTTTTGCAGATTTCGTGACTGGCTCCTCTCTGAAGTGGAGACCCTTTTTTAAGTAAGCGCTATGCTCAACATGGGGCTTGAACTCACGATGCGGAGAAGCATGCAGTGCATGCTTCACTGACTGAGCCAGCCAGGCGCTCCTTTTCAGATCTCAATTTAAAGTGTTCTTGCTGGGGCGCCTGGGTGTCTCAGCCGGTTAAGGTTAAGCGTCCGACATCGGCTCAGGTCATGATCTCCTGGTTCATGAGTTCGAGCCCCGTGGCGGGCTCTGTGCAGATTCTGTGTCTCCTTCTCTCTCTGCCCCTCCCTGCACTCACGCGCACGCGCTCTCTCTCTCTCTCTCTCGCAAAAATAAATAAACATAAAAAAAATTAAAGTCTTACTGCTTCCTGGGGTACTTGGCTGTCTTACTTTAAAAAAAGAACAAGAGATCTGAATGATTAGGAAAATCCAGCCAGGCCTAGAAGCATGGGAAGAATGTCCCCTGCGACTACAAAGGCCCTGAGTCAAGAAGCTTTGTACATAATCAAGGAGAGATCCGCATTCCAAGCAAGGGGAGCATTCTGGGCCCAGATAAGGAGGCTCTGAAGAGTGCCCTTGAATAAATAAGGAGGGGAAAGCTAGCAAAGAGTGGGTTTCAGTAGACAGCAAGCCTTGACAGCTAAGCCCGGGTGAAATGGTCTGACTTCAAAGGGCTCTAAAACTGAAACCCCAAAGTTGGGCCACCCACCCCGGGGCCCCACCCAATCTCACAGATGTGGGAGTCAGGCTCCTTCTCTGGGGGGAGGGGGAGACGGGGAGTCAGGTAAGGGGCAGGAGGTGGGCTTCCTGAGGGGAGTCACAACACAGTGACAGCTCTTCCTCTCTCCCCTACAGGAAAATGATGACCACCATTGTTGGCCAATTGCAGGAGGGGCTCAAAGGTTTCAGAAAACTCCAGGACTGAATACCAAGGGAGCTGCCTCTCTCCTCTGGGCTGTGCCCCTGGAGGAGACTCCGAAATTTCCCATACTCCTGCTCCCTTGCGGATGCCCGTATGAATCCACCCCCACCCTCCAATAAAAATACCGTAGAGAATTCTGAGTGCTTCTTTGCTGTGAGGCAGAAGGCTATGGGACAGGATGGGGGGGTGCGCCTTTGGGGAAGACAGGCAAGGTCTTGTCTTCAAATGAATGGGGCCATAGGTATTCATTACACTTAAAATGGGTAATAAAGGGGGCTCTGTGGAAGGCAGCAAGGGGAGGACACGGGCTAGAGCCCCGAAAAAGATTGACACAATCCCCACCGTCCAAGGCAACTTTGATGCCCCCTCCTCCAGGAAGCCCTCCTTAACCCCCAGGTTGGGTCAAGCTTCTCCATCCCAGCGCTGCCCACTCTGGGTCATCGTTGTCTGGCGATGGGTCTGTCTCTCCTGTCGGACTGTCTGCCCCGTCACTGCTGTCCCCAGGCATAGTCCAAGCACAGGACTGGAGCATGGTACAGGGGTTCGGTGATACTTGGTGGCATAATTCTCCTCCCTCTGAAAAGAAAAAAAACCCCTAAATGATACATTTTTACCAAATGCCTCTGAGGCAGACGCTGTCACCGCCCCTATTTTACAGACGAAGAAACCGAGGCGCAGAAGGATAAAGCCGCTGATGTGATGTGACCCAGCCACCAGTGGGGAGAGGTGGGATTCGAATGAGGCTGGGTGGTGGGGGGCGGCCAGGAACGCATTCTTACTTCACTTTCCCTGTGCCTGAGTCACGGTCCCAGACTCACCCGCTACAACCACACACACGCACACACACACACCTGTCCATGGGCCTTATTTGCTCATCTGCAGCATATTAAAGCACGCCCACGTCCCTCACTAGGTACAACTCACATGAGCATCTCGCGGTAGTTGGCAAAAGGCTATATTCTGCGCCGAGTGAATCAATCACCACCCTTTACTTGGCCATGTTTCCAGCATTTTGGAGCCAACTTATTTTTCACGCATTTTCCTAACCACCCTGCCACCCCCCCAACCCCAACCCCTGCCCTCCCTCTGCCCCCCGGAAAGCTCTCAGGTTAGAAAAGCACAGGGACAGAGAAGACGGACAGCAAGCAGTTCACGGAGTGAGTGCACCCTCCACTTTTGAAGAGAGGCTCAGACTCAGGGGCAATTAGATGAAAACCACCAAAGACACCAGTCAGCTTCTGGAGACCTGGCCGAAAGTAAGAGATTGGAAAAATGCCAGATGCTGGTGAAGACATGTGTACCTGAGAAGCAGTACATTCTTGGGGCACCTGGGTGGCTCAGTGGGTTAAGGGTCCGACTTCAGCTCAGATCATGATCTCGTGGTTCGTGAGTTCGAGCCCCGCGTTGGGCTCTGTGCTGACAGCTCAGAGCCTGGAATCTGCTTCAGATTCTGTGTCTCCCTCTCTCTCTCCCCCTCACCGGCTCGTGCTCTGTCTCTATCAAAATAAATAGACATTAAAAAAATTTTTTTATGGTGGGAAATAAATATAACCCTCTGTACTTAATGCCCCATTTCCCCCACCCAAATCAGCCCTTCAAGCTCCTATACCCTCTTCCCACTCGGCAGCCGGGGGGATCCTGTTACAATACAAGTCACATCACAATCTTCCTCTGCTCAGAACCCTCCTTCCACCCTCAGAGGAAAACTCGAAGATCTTATGAGAGAGGCTGTTGGCTCTGCACTAACTGGCCAGGTCACCCCTCTGCCTCTCCCCCTTCCTCCCTCGTGTGTAACTCCTCAGCTTCCTCCAACGCACTGAGCTAGCTCTTACCCCAGGGCCTTTGCATTTGCTGTTCCCCTTGCCTGGAATGTTCTCTCTGGAGATGTCCAGCTATCTGCCTGGCTCACATCTCATCTCCTTCAGGTCTCTGTTCAACAGCCACCTCCCCATCGGGGTCCCCCCCATACTTCTCTCCCAATCGCCCTACTTGTTTACTGCCTGTGTCTCCCACTGCTGGGATGTCAAGTTCACGGAGGTTGTCTTGTCTTCTTCAGTGCCTCTCCCTCCCAAGTGCCCATCACAGTGCCTGGCACACAGGGAGAGCTCGAGCAATACTTCTTTTTCTTTTTTTCTTTTTTTAGTTTATTTATTTTGAGAGAGAGAGAGCAGGGGGTGGGCAGAGAGAGAGAGAGAGAGAGAGAGAGAGAGAGAGACAGAATCCCAAGTGCGGAATCTGACAGCATAGAGCCTGAGATCATGAGATCATGACCTGGGCTGAAGTCTGACTGACGCTCAGTGGACTGAGCCACTCAGGTGCCCCTCGAGCAATTCATCTTAAATCCCTGAATGAACATGTGTGTTCCAAAGACCAGCTAACATGTAGATGCTTGATTACCATTTGTTAACCATTCGTGAACTCATTCATTCTAATTTTTTTTAAATTTTTTAATGTTCATTTATTTATTTTTGAGAGAGGTAGAGGGAAGGGCAGAGAGAGAGAAGGAGCCCCACATGGTGCTTGAACCCACGAACCACAGGATCAGGACCTGAGCCAAAACCAAAAGTCAGACGCTTAACAGACTGGGCCACCCAGGCGCCCTTCATTCATTCTAATTTTAAGATTTTGTTTTAATGTTTTGAGAGAGAGAGAGAGCCAGCAGGGGAGGTGCAGTGCAGCAGGGGTGGGGGGCGGGGGGTAGACAATGGACCCGAAGCAGGCTCTGCGCTGACAGCAGAGCGCCCGATGTGGGGCTTGAACTCACCAACCACAAGATCACGACCCGAGCTGAAGTGGGACTCTCAATTGATTGAGCCACTCAGGTGCCCCTCTTTTTACACTTTATATTTAGAGCTGATACATTTGTTCTCAGGTTTACAAACTTACCATCAGGACCTCAGAGAGGAAACAGCCCTGATCACATCAAAACAAAAAACAACAAAAACCACCCAGAGAGTCCCAAGCATGTTTGTAGAAGCATTCAGACTCTGGGGCAGAGGCAGCCCATTCAGACAGCCCCACCCATGGCCCCTACTCCACACAGCTGACAGGGCAGGGATGGGGGGCTCCTGTGAGCACCTGGTTCTGGGTAGCTGGTCCGGGAGGGCTCCCTGGAGGGGGGCGACACAGCACCTGAAACCCAAAAGACAATCCAGAAGTGGTCAGCGAGAACGGGGGAAGAGCGTGAGAAGCCACACGATTTTCATCCCCATGAAGGTTCACCAACAAATACATGAAGGAAAAACCGGATACAAAAGCGAATGAACGGAGCCATTTTGGAACAGTTTAGCGCGGTTCCTCAAAGCGTTCAACTGACCCACCGGCAGCCCCATTACTAGGTCACTATCCACCCAGAACTGCACACAGGTTCACGCAAAAACGTATGCAGGGCTGTTCGTAGCAGTATTGTTCATGACAGCCAAAAGGTGGAAAGAACCCAAATGCCGATCAACTGAGGAACGATAAGCAAATCCCCATGGCGTGTGTAGACGTGAATCCATACAGTGAATACCATTCTGCCCGAAAAAGGAAGGAAGTGCCCTCACACGCCACACACCAAAGACCACGGAGTGTAGGCTTGCATTCCCATGATGCCCAGGATAGGGAAGCCACAAACACGGAAAGTCCATCATCAGCCATTGCCCTGCTGGCCCAGGGGAAGAAGACAATGGAAATGACCCTGATGGGCTCATGGGAGTTGTCTTTCAGGGTGATGACAATGTCCTGGAATCGGAGGCTGGTGATGGCTGCACAACTCTGCAAACCTACTAAACAACGTCGAATTGCACACTTGAAGAGGGCGAGTTTTTCGGTTTGCGAATATCTCCGTTTTTAAAAATTAACAAAAGAAGGGGCACTTGGGTGGCTCCATCGGTTAAGCGTCCGACTTCGGCTCACGGTTCATGGGTTCGAGCCCCGCGTCGGGTTCTGTGCTGACAGCCAGCTCAGAGCCTGGAGCCTGTTTCAGATTCTGTGCCTTCCTCTCTCTCTCTGACCCTCCCCTGTTCACGCTGTCTCTCTCTCTCAGAAATAAATAAAACATTAAAAAAAAAAACCAACGAAAGGAGAATTTCCCGGACAGGAAGAAGAAAGAAGAGATAATAAAGGAGGGCATGTTTCAACCATCTCGTCTGCCCCAGACTTCCCTCCCAGAACCCAGAGGTGCAGAGGTGCAGAGGAAGGAGGTGAGTGCTTAGAAAGTGCTGGAAGGGAGGCGAGTTCTGGGATTCAGGAGGGAGGTCTGGACTGGGGGAGTGGGGGGACTGATCTGGGGTCTGGTGGCCTCTTGGACACATTGCTGCAGGCTCGGAGGTGCTCTCTGCCATCCCCCAAACACATGCACTGGGGTCTCGGGGCCTGCCATGCCCAAACCCACTCCCTCTTGGGACCTCTGTCTCTGCCCCCCATCGCCCCACTCCCAGTTGTTATTGAGCTGACTCTGAGGTCCACCCTGAACGGCCTTCAGCCTGTTCCTGTCCCCGGGATGGACAAACATTGCAACCAGCAAACAGCCCACACTGACCTTGGACCTGGGGCAGGGGTCAGAGACCTCCCCCAGGCCCACCCTGCTGCCAGCCCTGATCCAACCACCCTCCTGGCCTCTGGGCCTCAGGTAGGAGACGTGTGTCAGGGGGTGTCTTGGCTTGGCTAGATCTGAGAGAGTAGGGTTCAAATGCACCCCTCGAAATGCTGTTTGAGGAGCCATTGGTAAGTGGCCTCCCTTCCCATCCCCGAGGCTCAGTTTCCTCATCTGTAAAATGGGAATGATAGAGGAGCCCACCTCAGAGCTCTGTTGTGTTAAATCAATGAGTTCAGGCACCAAAGCCCCACTTTTGGCACCTGCTCACAAAACGCAAGGTTAATCAACAGTCACTGACCTTGACCGAGCACCTCCCTGGTGTATCTGGTGCTGCTCTCGGCAATTTACATAAACGATCTCCTTTGCTCTCTGGGGTAGGTAGTCCATGACTCTCAGTCATGGATGAAGCAGCCAGTCCAGAGACGTTAAGCAACTTGCACCAAGTCACACAGCAGGGAAGATGTGAAGCAAACCTCTGAACCCCGACCTTGTGCTTCTCCTAATGCAATGCATGGTGGGTTTTTCTTTTTCTTTTTTCATCTTAAAAAAATTTTTTTAATGTTTATTTATTTTTGAGACAGAAACAGAGCATGAGCGGGGGAGGGGCAGAGAGAGAAAGAGACACAGTATCTGAAGCAAGCTCCAGGCTCCAAGCTGTCAGCACAGAGCCTGACGCGGGGCTTGAAACCACGAACCGTGAGATCATGACCTGAGTTGAACTCGGATGCTCAACCGACTGAGCCACCCAGTCACCCCTCTTTTTCTTTTTTCTTAAAATACATAACAAATGTATGTATTCTTTCTTCAAATACATGACATAAAATTTACCATTTTAGCCATTTTAAGGGTACAGTTGAGTGACATCAACCCCACTCACAAGTTGTGCCGCCATCAGCACCCTCCATGCCTGGAACTTTCTCAACATCCCAAATAGAAATTCTAGGAGGTGTTCAGTTGTTGTTGTTTTTAATGTTTATTTATTTTGAGTGAAAGAGAGAGCATAAGTTGGGAAGGAGCAGAGAGAGAAGGAGAGAGAGAGAGAATCCCAAACAGGATCTGCATTGTCAGTGCAGAGCCCAACACGGGGCTCGAACCCACGAACTGGGAGATCACGACTTGAGCCAAAGTCAGGAGTCGGACAGAACCGCCCACGCGCCCCTCTAGGAGGTTTTATTTTGCTGATTTTGTTAGTGAAGAACGCTGGGCACATTCACTGAGTACCTACTGTGTGCCCGAGCCCATGTCGGGGCCCCTGGAAAGGGGTGCGTTCTCTGGCAGCGGACGGGTCAGGACCAAACTGTACAGTGAGTGCCCCTTATCTGTGGCGAAGGGACCCCAATCTCCAGTGGACACTGGAAACCACAGATAGTGAGTGCCAAACCCCAGATACACTGTCTTCTCCTCCCCGCACACACCTATGATAAAGTTCAACGTATACAATCAGACACAGTAAGAGATGAACAGCTATGACTAATAGTAAAGTAGAGCAATTACAATAATACATTGTAATAAAAGTTATGTGAGCGTGATTCCCCCCCAAACATCTTATTGTACGACGCTCACCCCTCTTCTTGTGATGATATGAGATGATAAGATGTCCCCGTGATGAGATGAAGGGCAATGACATGGACACCGTGACACAGTATTAGGTGATTATTGACCTGCTGGCATATTGTCAGGTCATCTGCCTCCAAACCTTAGTTGACCTTGGGTCACTGACACTGTGCATAAAGGGAGGGCTACTGTCTAGTTGTTCAGGTTGTGGCCAAAGTGCGGTTGTCAGAGTCTCCACATAAAAATACAGCCCCCCCACCCCCGCCCTGGGGGCACCTGGGTGCTCAGTCGGTTGCTTGACCGACTCTTGGTTTCGGCTCAGGCCATGAGCTTGCAGTTCGTGAGATGGGACCCTGCTGATAGAGCGGAGCATGCTGGGGATTCCCTCGCTCCTCTTCTCGCGGCCTCTCCCCTGCACGCATGCTCTCTCCCTCTCCCTCTCAACATAAATAAACTTTAAAAAAATGTTTTAAAAAAAGAACAGCCTCCCGGTGAGATTTGAATTTCAGATAAATAACAAATAATTTCTAGTATAATTCCCAAATATTGCATGGGACAGACTTATACTAAAATAAGAACTTATAATTATTCTAAATTCACATAGACATCCTGTATTTTACCTGATAAATCAGGACCAAGGAATCCAGTCCATGGTCCCCTGGCCAAGCTGTGTGCCCTGGCTTATGGCTGGGTCCTCCGAGAGAAAAAGTCTCATTTATTTCCTTCCTTCCTTCCTTTCATTTTCTTTCTGCCTAATATTGGGCCTGAGCCTGATACTGACAACCTCCTCCTACATGCACCTGGAACTTTCTCTCAGAGAGCCTCACCCAGCCTACACACGGACTCTAGGAGACAGGCACTTATTACCACCCCCACTTTACAGATGAAAACACTGAGGCCTAGAGAAGGAATTGGAGTTGCCCAGGTCACACGGTGAGAGTGTGTCTGGCCTATAGCCCAGTGCCCAAGGGGTCTTCGATATGAAAGAAATAATCATTGGGGTGCCTGGGGGCTCAGTTGTTTTGAGTGTCTGACTTCGGATCAGGTCATGATCTCTCAGTCCATGAGTTTGAGCCACGCGTCGGGTTCTGTGCAGACAGCTCGGAGACTGGAGCCTGCTTCGGACTCTGTGTCTCCCTCTCTCTCTGCCCCTCCCCCGCTCACGTTCTGTCTCTCTCTGTCTCTCAAAAATAAATACACGTTAAAAAAAAAAAATCATAGGGGTGCCTGGGTGGCTTAGTCGGTTAAGCGTCCGACTTTCGCTTAGGTCATGATCTCGCGGTTCGTGGGTTCGAGCCCCACGTCGGGCTCTGTGCTGACTGCCAGCTCAGAGCCTGGAGCCTGTTTCAGAGTCTGTGACTCCCTCTCTCTCTGACCCTCCCCTGCTCACGTTGTCTCTCTCTCTCCTAGAAATAAATAAAAGTATTCAAAAAAAAATCATAAACAGCCATGACCTGTGAGCACCTCCACTGACAGGCTCCTTGTTAAGACCATTCCTTGCATCATTTCATGCAATTAAAGTCCTGCCTGAGGTAGGGATTGTGGGCCCATTTATCAGAGGAGGAAACTGAGGCCGGAAAGAGGGGCCCGCTGGTGAGGTGGAGGCAGGATTTGATTACCACTCAGCATAGGAGGCCAAAGGTCCGTCTTCCCCTTTCAGGGCCAAAGTGCTGGGAGGGTAGGAAAGAGGGAGGCCAGCAGGGGCGGGCAAGGCCTCCGCTTGTCACTGTCACCTGGGCCCCTCTCTCTCTGAAGTCCCTGCCAAGGGGCGTGGGGAGGCAGCCAAGGGAGGGCTGTGCTCCGCGCGCCTCCCCTCCCCCAGCCCGGGGAGCCGAGCGGAGGAACAGAGAACCAGAGCCCCCAGGGATGTTGGTTCCCAGACGCAGGCCCGAGGCCCTGCCCTCCCTCTGCTTCTGCATCCTGGTCTTGGCCTGTGTTGTGGGTGAGGAAGGAAGGGACGGGAGTGGGGACCCTGCAGCCGCGCAAGGCGTGAGCGTGACCGGCTGGCATGAGGGCTCGTAGATGCGTGTGCCTTTCTGGGAGTACGTGGCCCTGGTGGCCGCGTGGGAGGGGTGGCCGCGGGGCTGGTACAAACGACAGCGGTGCTTTGTGTGTGTTGGTCGCGGCAAAGAACATGATGTCGCGGCAAAGGTGTGTGTCCGTGAATGTACATGCACACGTTTGTGTGTGCGTGTGAGTCTTTAGGGGGATTTATGCGGAGGCTTTGAGTGTGTGGACGCCGTGAGGGTGTCTGAATGGAGCCTGCCTGGGCTTGGCGCGTGCGTTTAAAATGGTAACGCTTGGGGCGCCTGGGTGGCTTAGTCGGTTAAGCGTCCGACTTTCGCTTAGGTCATGATCTCGCGGTTCGTGGGTTCGAGCCCCGCGTCGGGCTCTGTGCTGACAGCCAGCTCAGTGTCTGGAGCCTGTTTCGGTCTGTGACTCCCTCTCTCTCTGACCCTCCCCTGCTCATGCTGTCTCTCTGTCTCTCCTAGAAATAAATAAAACATTAAAAAAAAAATAAAATGGTAACACTTAACGTAGCGCCTCCATGTGCGAGGTGCCGCCCCAGGGGCCTTATGCGCGTTAGATGTTAGCTCCAAGTTCTCCCAGAAATCCTGGCCTTCTCCCCTTCGACAGAAGGGGAAACTGAGGTTTGGAGAGGTTCACCGTTGGCTTAGGCACCCTGCAGGTCATACGGGCATCTCTGCACCAGCGCCTGTGCGATGCCTGGGCCTGTAGGTGAGGCGTCGCCTGGTGTGTGAGCGGCGCTCAGGGAGGTGTGTGCAAGGAGGGGAAGCGCCATCGCCCTGGGGAGGAACTGAGGCACAGCCCTGCGACCTCTGTCCCTAGGGGTGGGAAGTCCTCGGAGCTCTCCCTCCACTGCCTGCAGAGGTGGTGGGGACAGCGTGGGGCTCACGGGAGGGAGGACCGAGGACCGGGGGACAGCCAGGACCGGGGGCAGCCAGACCGTCCAGTACAGGAGGCATCGGGAGGGGGACAGGAGTCAAAGACATGCGGCTACAAACTGAGGGGGAAACGCCACAGGCAGACCGAGGGGTGGCAGGAGGGGCCGTAGGCACAGAGGGTGATGAGAAATTGACCGATGGCGATGGCTAAAAGGGACACAAGTGATCAAAGGGACATAAAAGCTGAAGACCAGCAGTGACGTCAAGGGGAGCGATAGTGAGTGACCGTGAGCATGGAGGGAAGGGGAAGAGGAGGGATCCTTGGGTCCCAGCCCTCCCATGTTGCCCTCTGCTCCCACCCAGCATGCCAGCGAAGAGTGCCTGCCGCTTCCCCGAGCACCCCACCGAGCACCCCACCGGGGCCGGCGGCTAGTCCTTGGAGCCGGGTACAGGACAAGGTGCAGGAACTGGTGACCAGGGCCAGAGAGAAGTGGCAGTGGTTCTGGTGAGGGGGTGCAGCAGGGCTTGGAGAGGTACTCCTGGGGCTGGGGGGGAGGGGCTGGGGTCAGGACTCCCGGGTCTGAGGGGGGAGGGGCTGGGGGCCTGGATCCTGGGGCTGAGGGGGGAGGGGCGACTGGGGCAGAAGGAAGGGGGGGAGGAGCTGGGGTCTGAGGGAGGAGGGGCGAGTGGGGCGGAAGGAAGCGGGGCGGGGGGGTGGAGGAGCTGGGGTGTCACAGCTCTGTCCCTCCTCCACAGGGGGCCAGAGGCTTTCCAGGGCTTCCTGCAGGCCTACTATGATGACCACCTGAAGGACCTGAATCTCCGCACCCAGGCCTGGCTCCGCAGCTCCAGAGACAGCCTTCTGAACAAGGCCCACGCCCTGTGCCCCCAGCTTCTGTGCAGGGACAGTGACACGAATTAAAGTGCTACAGCCTCCATAATAAAGCAGTGCTTCTCTGTGTCCCTGTCTTAATCCATCCCCGGTGTGGCCACCGCCAGCAGTTAATGAGTAGAGGAAGGGGCACCTGGCAAGTTGGAGGGGCCCTGAGGGGAAAGAGTCAGGGGGATGATCCCTTCCCCCGTCCCTGGGACCCACCCTGGGCTTGTGGGGGGCATCAGGCAACTTGGTGTTTGGTAGAAGGTGAAGGCTGGGGCGTAGGCGGGGCCAGCAGGTCCCCGCAGCGAGTGCCTTGGCTTCCTACTCTTGGGCTGAACCCCAAGGACCCCCAAGTCTCCACAGCACCCACCCAGCGGCCTGTATCTCCCAGAGGGAACTTTCAGAGGGGGGCTCCCTCGGGAATGATGTCACTGCTCCCTCTGCCCCACCCCTCCCCCTCTGCGGTCCTGTTGGCTCGGACTTTGGCCTAGGGGACAAGGTGGGGGTGGTGGCTGTGGTGGGGCGGTGGATCTCAAGAGCTATAAAGACCTTCTCTGCCCGCGTGGAGCTGGTGAGGACAGCCTGGCAGAGTCTGGTAAGAGGGGGCCCTGAAATGGAACAGGGGAAGGGTCAGCGGGGAGGGGGCAGAGAGGGTTAAATCAGAAACCGCGAGAGTCACGAAGTTTGTGAGATTCCTCTGTTGGAATCATAGACTTTAGAATCATAGACCGTTTCCTTGCGCTGCTGCCCTTTGGGGTCTGATCTCAACCTCATCTCCAAACTGAAGATGACAACACGACCTGGGAACTGTGTGTCCTGAGCCGAGCGCCTCTGTCCTAGGGTTGGGGTGGAGGTAGATGGATGCATGTAGAATGGGACCCAGGGCATCGGAAACATACTCATCCAGGGGTGGGCCCTTAACTAAGCCTGGGACTCCGCAGACTGGGTCTTAGCATAAATGTCACCTTCTCTAAGGCTTTCCTGGGCTCCGTGACACACCCTTCTCCCTCCAGAGCACTTAACCACCATACGACAGGCGGTGTATTTTATTCATTTAATATTGCCGTTTGTGTTTCTCTCTCACATCGGCGTCATAGAGGCAAGGCTCTTGCTGTGGTCACAGCTGGGCCCCAGAACTGTGTTTGGTACCCAGTAGGTGCTCAAGAAATGCTTCCTGAGTGAATGAAGGGATGTTAGAATTAAGGTGTTAAAATCAGGAGGAGAATCATAAAATGTTAGACGATGAGCCCCAAGCCAATGTATTAGCACCTGAACTCAGCTGGGGAGGCGGAGGAGAAGGGAAGCCCAGCCCCTTCTCCTAGCGTTTCCGGGAGGGTGGGAGGGGGGACGCCAGGACTAGACGTCACCAGGGGCCCCGCCCCACAGCCTCCTCAGTGTTCCAGGTCTTCCGAAGCCATGGGCACCCAATACCTCCTGGTTCTGTTTCTTGTCCTCCTGATACCGACATGTGGTGAGTGTGGTCGGGAGAGCGGAGGGTCTGTGATGGGGATGAGATGATCTTCCCAGCCCAGTTCTCCTCACCTGGCCTGGCCCCACCCCCGCCCCCCTTCTTCCCTGCCTGATTCTCCCCTCCTGCTGGTTCCTCAGCTCTCCCAATGCGCTCTCCCTCTGCAGAGGTCCAGGGGGCCGACATGGCCCAACAGGATGAAGTCACCAGTGCCCCCCTGCTCACCCAGATGCAGGAATCCCTCTATAGCTACTGGGACTCGGCCAAAGCGGCCGCCCAAGACCTGTACAAGAAGACATACCTGACCACCATGGATGAGAAAATCAGGTATCAACAGCTCCCTCCCCGCCGTTGGAACCCCGGATTCTGAGACCCCAGCCTTTTCCTTGCTCAGCCCTGGGGCCCGGGACCCCAGGCTCCTCCCTGCTCAGAGCTTCTGTCTTTTCTCCCCAGGGACATGTACAGCACAAGCACAGCAGCTGTGAGAATTTACACAGGGATTTTCACTGACCAGATATTTTCTATGTTGAGTGGAGACTCATAACATCTGGGCCCTGACTGTGGGGGAGGGGAGAGCCCAGACCCCACAACCCCTCGGCTCCCGAGACTGACCCCTCACTTCTTTGCAGCTCTCGGCATCCTGCTCTCAGTGCTCACCTGACTTCTTATAAATAAATTTTAAAAAAAAAGCCATTTATTTTCTTCCATGTGGTTGCATCTCAAAGACCTTAGAGGACCAAGATGGCAGCACCGATTCAGTCCAGCCAATAGTTAGCGAGTGCCCACTGGACGTAGGTAGCCCTAACTAGGTCAGCGGGGGTAAAGAGGTGAATAGTAACAATGGATCATCACACTAACAACATTAGAGACTGTCCCTCGCCAAGGTCTGGCTTTCTCACAGGCAAAACGACTAACCATGAACTGCAGTGGCCTCTGGCCATGTCTAGGCCCTGGACTGATTTAAATGTGCATCACAGTGAGGTGTCCAGTGGTCCTGTGACCGAGGTGCGTAGACGTCACTGCTGAGCATAGGAAGTCAGTGCCCAGCTTGGCTGGGACCCAAGAGAATGGATCTGCAAGAGCCGTGCCCAGTGACAATTCCTATACGCTTGTCAAGCATCTATTTATTGAGACCCTGCTAGGCTGGGGGGACACTGCCGGGGAAAGGCAGAGTCCTGCCCCCTGTGGCCTCTCCAAAAGCTATTTATTGGGTCCTGGCCCAATTCCACTCAGCTTTAGCGATGATAGCTTTGTGGTATGTTTTCTTAGCTGCTCTCTCCTTATTAACAAAAGCAATAACATTTCCTGAGCTCCCGCTCAGGGTCAGCAGCTCTATTCCGTCTGTCTTGAAGCCACAAACGGAGAGGCTGGTGGTGGGGGGTGGGGAGAAGGCAGAGGAGGAGCAGGGCGACCAAAGGAGAAGATGACTTCAGACAGCATTATGTGCAATGAAGAAAAGAAGAAGTGAGGGGATCAAGGCCCTGGGTGCAGCCCTCTGGGGTAGCCCAGTCCTGGCTGGGCTGGTCACACGGAGGATGCATCACAGTGCAGTGGTTTGGGGCTGTTGATGCTGGAAATTGGGGGGTGTGGAGGAGGGCACTGGCTCGGACCCCCAGGTCCACCCCGTGCAGTTAGTGGTTGGGAAATGGTATCTGGGCAGTGAAAAATCGCAGGCAAAAAACACAGGGCGTACAAGTAAGAACAGAGGTGGTACAGTCTAGGAGGCCAGTGCTGGGGCCCCTGGGTAGAGGGCTGGGGGCCTGGATTTCTGGGTCCTGAGGGAGTAGAGTGTGGTCCTGGGCCCCCAAGTCCCAGGGGTGGGGCTGCTGGCCTCCAAGGATCCAGGGCCTCTGTTTCTCCCAATCTGATTGCCATTAACATCCAGCCAGTCTTTCAGCGCTCCTGGGGCAGTTTTCCCAGGTCCTGAAGATGGGCAGCTGTGAGTCTAGTAGAAAACAGGGGCCTTAGGGAGGGATTGTGGGAAATGCCCCCAAGTCCCCAGGGCCTGGGAAGAGCTGAGGCTGCCAAACCCAGGGGGTGATGGGGTGGGGGGACCCTAGAGCAACAATCCCCGCTCTGTCCACTTGTTTCCCACGGACTCAAGCCAAACCAAACCACTGCCCAGGCCAGTTCTGCTTCCAACCAATCCTGGTGGCCTTCCCAGATTCCTCCTTCCTTTCTCAAGCCTCCACCCCAGTCTCACTGCCCTAGGATCCCGGAGTCCAGGCCCCTAGCCTCCTCTTGCCTCACAACGCAGGAGTCTGGAACCCCCGACTTCTCCCTCAGACTCCGGAGTCTGGACCCCCACCCCATTTTCCTCAGGATCCGAAAGGTCAGGGCTCCCGCTCTTTTCCCTTAGAACCTGAAATCACGGCCTCTGGTTGGTGTCGGGCGTCCCCTAGTGGAGGGCAGAGTGATTCAATGAGCAGTTCATAGAAACGGAACTTACTGGTCACTCAACAGAAAAGGGGGGAGGCTTTGCTAAGGTCACAGCAGGAGCAGGGAAGGGGCAGGGGGAGGGGTAGACAGAGGCTCCGGAGTGGACTCTGTGCTGACAGCAGAGAGCCTGATGCGGGGCTCGAACCCGCGAACCGTGAGATCATGACCTGAGCCGAGGTTGGATGCTCAACCAACTGAGCCACCTAGGTGCCCCTAATTTTGCACTTTTGTAAAAAAAATTTTTTAAATGTTTTTTTATTTATTTCTAGGAAAGAGAGAGAGACAGCGTGAGCAGGGGAGGGTCAGAGAGAGAGGGAGTCACAGACTGAAACAGGCTCCAGGCTCTGAGCTGGCAGTCAGCACAGAGCCCGACGCGGGGCTCGAACCCACAAACTGCGAGATCATGACCTAAGCGAAAGTCGGATGCTTAACCGACTAAGCCACCCAGGCGCTCCTAATTTTGCACTTTTGAAAAAGAGGCAGGCAACTCTCAGCCTGCCTCATGTCTGGCAGACTCAGTGAATATGTTCATTTCATCCCTAGACTGCCTCTACAGTTTTACAGAATCGTTCTAACTATTCTTGTTATATGTGAGAGAAGCAGACTGGGCAAGGTGTTCTCTAAGGTTCCTTCTTGCCCCAGTGTTGGTCCTCAGAGGTGTGTCATCAACCTTCTGCACGCAGCCTTTCACTTAGCAACCATCCCCTGGGGCAGTGCTGGAGGCAGAGTAGTGACCTTGGATGTCTGGGGCTTCCCCGCCCACGCCCGCGGGCAAGGCATACCACACCCATCCCTGACAGTGATAATACAAAATGGGCAGGGGTGGAGCTGGGGAGTCCTGGGATCTGCCTGGGGGCCAGGGAGGGTTTCCTGGAGGAGGTGATGTTACTACTGGGCTGGGACCAAGAGGAAAGTGAAGGAAGTAAACAGTAAAATGAGAACTAAATTAATTGGAGAATCCCAGTGCAAAGCCTACGCTCCCTTCCGGGTAACATGCAAGGTTCATAATAACAGTGCAGAACATTGATCACTTACTAAGCGAGGTGTGTGTGTGTGAGGTGCTTTCCATTAGTGATCGTGTCACTAGGTCTTTGCAAAAAGCCGGTGGGGCAAAAGCGGGAGGGAAACGCTTAGTTCATAAAAGAGAAACTGAGGCCCAAAGAGATCTGTCACTTGTCTGGAGTCAATTAAAAGGTCAGTAGCACAGCCAGAGTTTAAACTCCGGTCATACCTCCACTCTATTCATACGGAAGGCTTATAACAGCCGCTGACAGACTTCTGTTCTTTCCCATCCTCCATACCACCCTCCCCAGACCAGGGGTCACTCAACCCGTGTACAGGCTTGGAACTGTACAAAGACACATAGCTAAGAAAAAGGATGACGTTCTAAGAGTCCTTGAAGGCGAGTCCAGAGTTGCGAAATTGCTAGAAAGCAAAGACCACTCTGGGACCGCGCGTTGCGGGCTAAACTAGATTGCCTGAAGGGTCGGGGAGGGAATGACAGGGGCCGATTTTAAGGTGTGGTGGCCGTGAGGACCCTGAAACAGTAGCCCTGAATGCACAGAAAAATTACAACCTAAGGGGACTTGGAGGAAAAGGCTGCTTTAGGAAGATGAGTCTGCAGTCGACGACCCTGACCCACGGCTCGCCCTCTGAGTCTCGGTACCGCGGCCATGGAGGTTCCCGGAGCACAGGAAGGGCGCGCTTTGAACAGAACTTTTCGAGGGCTAACGGTGCCCGGAAAAGCTCAAGAAACACGAAAACGGCAACGACTCGAAGAATCGGCGGGGCGAGGCGGGCAGGGTGGCCTGCAAGGCTCGTACAAATGGAAGACGCAGATTTACTCGGGGAGGCAAAGGGAACGGAGCCCGTCGGAGGCTCACAGGCTGGCGGAGAAGGTTCGGGCTTTCCAAGCAGGTGGAAGGTCTACTAGGTGTAAACAGATGTACGGCCGGGGGAGGGGGGGGGGTATGGTGGCCGGGCTGGTTCTTTCTTAGCCGGAAGCGGCTCTCCTGAGAGGCGTGGCTTAAGCTCTCTTGCCGGATACGGTAGCTGGCGGGCCTGGCGAAGTGTGAAATCTCGCGCGATCACGCTGGCGACGTCTGGGACGGGGCGGGGCCGGCGGCGGGGGCGGGGACCCGGAGCGGGAAGATGGCGGCGGCGCAGGAGGCGGATGGGGCCGGCAGCGCCGTGGTTGCGGCCGGGGGAGGCGGCTCCGGTCAGGTACGGAGGCCGAGAGGGGCCTGAGGGGTTGTTTCCCACCCGGGGGGCCTCCCACGGGGCGTGTCCCGCCCTCTTTCGCGGAATCCCGTGCACTGGGGGCTCGTTGCCCCGAGGGACCTTGAGTACCGGGCCCAGGCGGGCCGGGCAGTCCTGGAGGCCGGACAGTGCGGGGAGCGGGGCCCTCTTGCACGCCGGGTCCCCTGCCGGCTCGCGCTGGGCTGCCACCAGGCTCACTGCTCGAGCCGGGAGACAGTGGCGCGGAGGGGCGCAGACTTAGACCCAGGCGCCCTGGTTCCCGACACCGCGAGTCAGGCTCTAAGACCGTTCTTGAAGTGGACGGGCATTTAGAGTCTCCCTCGCAGTGCCTGAGATGTGGGCAGCGATTGATTAATTGGGAGTTTTCTAGCTCTGGGGACGTCAGGTGATGATCGTGGGTAAGGGCACGGGCGGTGGAGACCGACGGACAGACCCACTTTACAGACGGGAATCAAGGAAGACCGAAACTAAGGCGCTTGCAGAAGGTCACCCAGGTTGGGTTTGGGATCTAGTCCATGTAGCAGCTCCCAGACATTGCTGACCCAGGGTGGTCAGCATTGGGAAGGGTGTGCTTTCAGCATAAGCTAACCCTACGGGGTAGTTAGCCCAGGTGCTGATGACTTCTTGACCCATTGCTGTTTCAACTAAACTGAAGGTGCAGAACATACTAGTTCAGGCATCCACCCTTCAGGCATTTAGGGAATGGATGGAGTGACAGCAAGGTGCTGTCGACCCACCCACTGGGATGTCACTGACATGTGGGAGGCAGCACCGGGGAGAGGAGGTGCAGGTTGAGAGGGAAGAATGAAGCTGACTTTCCATGTGACCTTGGACAAGTTCCTTGCCTTCTCTGAGCCTTCATTTCTCCAGTGATAAGTGGAGGGGTTGCACAGGGTGGCCGGCCGTGTGGTGGGTCACAAAGAAGGTTCCAGCCAGGACCCTGCCTTCAGTGGACTGGGAGAGAAGGTGGACACGTAAAG